CCAAAAGTGGGTTTCTACGCCCTTTTGGGTCCCTGTCCCATAAAAAATATTGTGAGTTCGTCGTGTTAAGGCTGTCCATGTGCGAGTATCCTGGCAATGTTGAAAGCTGCAACTCACAGCCGGAAGAAGGCTCAGGTCAGAATTGCTCCAGTGGGTTCTTGTGACTGTCTGAGCCGCTTAGGAAATTGCTGAAATTGCAGGTGTTTCGAGCGTCTGCTCCAAGGATGGATACTTCTCCTATGGCAATTGCTCTGATGTATTCTACGCCTGTTCCAATGGTAACTTTTTTGAATGTACTCTGATATGATTACCATTATTCGCTGTAACGGTTCAAATGAGTTCACTTTCAGGACGCCAGATTCCCATGTTCTGCCCAGCAAAGCTGGCTTTCGACGAATCCAGACAGCTCTGTGATTACCCACTGGCTGTAGCCATTTGCACAGAGGGATCTGGTGAGAGCTCCGGCGGATCATCGGGAGAGTCTTCAGCAGAAGCTTCTGGAGGGGGCTCTGAAGCATCTGGAGAGACTTTCGAGGAGGGCTCGGGCAAAGCATCTGGAGGGTCTTCTGGAGAGGGCTCAGGCGAAGCACCTGTAGAGCAGCCTAGAGAGGGCTCGGCAGAAGGTTCTGGAGGATCTCTTCGAGACGACCAGACCGATTTCTTGACCGAACCAAGATTGCGGACAGTGCTAGCGAGTATGCGAGGAAGTCTGATGCAGAACATACTTCATCCGACGAACGTGCTGTTGAAGGGTCTGCAGAAGCTTCGGGAGAGCCCTCCGGAGCTCATGAAGACTATTCTGGCGATGGCGTTGAGGCCTCTGGAGGGCTCTCCTATGAAGCTTCGAGAACATACGAAGCGTCAGGAGAGTCCTCCGGTGAGCCAAATAGTGCTTGAATTCTGCGTAGTTTCCTTTGTTTCATTTTTAACCCTTTTCAGGAACCACCCACCTCTCAAGACGCAGCTGCCAATCTACCCAGCTCCGCAGTAGTTTTTGACGGAGCAATCACGCGGCTGGAAGTGGACAGGACAGAGGACTCGCTTGATAATAAGTTTTTTTTCTAGGTCGAGGCAATGGATGAGCCAACCACTCCGGTTCCTGAGACAGGTGCTTCTCCCTTTCTACTTTTCGGAATTACTTACTATGCTGGTTTGTTTTCATGAGAGCTTCTGTGAGCCCAAACGCTGACCGCTTTCGACGCTCCCGGTATGCTCATCGGGGGGGGGCGGGGGGCGGGGGGGGGGGCGGGGGGGGGGGGGGGGGGGGGGGGGGGGGGAGTATCCCCTTGTAGAGGCGGAGAAGCCAGTCGATGCCCTCTTCCGAACCACATGCTCTACGCACGAGAAGAAACCATCTGCGATATCCATTCCAAATGTAGCTGCTAATGTCGCCTGCCCTAATGAAAACGTTTCACCGGTGCATTCGAGCTACTGTGACGTAAAGAAGGAACGAGTATGAAGATAGAGTGACTTTTCACTAATCCTGACACTGCAGGGGCCCCCTCTGGAACGTCCCTGCAGCCAGGCAATTCACAACTTGGTCGACATGCAAAGTGAGGCAGCAATTTTATGCAGAAGCATTGCGCGGTAATACACGCGTATTTTTCCAGCTTCCAAAACTGGCGTGTGACAGGATACGTTTTCTCGGAGGAGCATCGAACATGTGCTGAGGCGTCTAAGGTGAAGGAATGTTTACAGTCAGAACCAGCCGCTGATGCTGGAGCTCCTGTACCGCAACCCCAGACAACTGCACTACCAGAGCAACCAGTTGTTGACACTGTAGCACCACAGACAACACATGTACCAGAACAGCCAGCTCCTGGCGCTGGATATGGTGCACCACCAGTGGAGACGACATCGCTACCAGAAACAGCCAGCTGCCGATGCCGTACCACCACAGCCTGAGACGACCCCGATGCCAGAACAGCCAGCTGCCCACGACTTGTATGCCGCACCAGTTGTCGAGACAACGCCTCTACCAGAGCAGCCAGCTGCTGACGTTGTGGCACGCAGCCTGATACGACGCCATTGCCAAGCTAAGCCAGTTGCTGTCCCGATATGACTGTACCAGTGTTCGAGACACATCCCTACCAGGACGGCCAGCTGCTGACGCCGTACCACCGCAGCCTGAGACGACCCCGCTGCCAGAGCAGCCAGCTGCCCGCGACTTGTATGCCGCACCAGTTGTCGAGACAACGCCTCTACCAGAGCAGCCAGCTGCTGACGTTGTGGCACCGCAGCCTGATACGACGCCATTGCCAAAGCAGCCAGTTGCTGCTCCCGGATATGATGTACCAGTGTTCGAGACAACACCGCTACCAGGACGGCCAGCTGCTGACGCCGTACCACCGCAGCCTGAGACGACCCCGCTGCCATGAGCAGCAGCTGCCCGCTCGACTTGTAGCCGCACCAGTTGTTCGCAGACAACGCCTCTACCGACAGCCAGCTGTCTTGGACGTTTGTGCGACCGCCAGCTGCATACGACGCCTATGCAAATCAGCATTGCTGCTCCCGGATATGAGCTACCCCTCTTCGAGACAAACACGCTACCAGGGACTCAGTCTTGCCTGACGCCAAGGTACCACCGCAACCTGAGACGACCCCGCTGCCAGAGCAGCCAGCTGCCCGCGACTTGTATGCCGCACCAGTTGTCGAGACAACGCCTCTACCAGAGCAGCCAGCTGCTGACGTTGTAGCACAGCAGCCTGATACGACGCCATTGCCAAAGCAGCCAGTTGTTGCTCCCGGATATGCTGCACCAGTGGTCGAGACAACACCGCTACCAGAACAGCCTGAGACAGCCCCCTTGCAAGAGCAGCCAGCTGCTGACGCTAGATATGCTGCACCATCAGTAGAGACGACGCCCTACTAGAACAGCCGCAGCCGGTTGCTACCCCAACGCCGCAGGTACAACATCCAGTAAGTGACGTCGGAGCTCCGGTTCCAAGACCGAGACCAACACCGCAAATGCGACCGATTCCACAGGTACAACGGCCAGCCGTTGGACGTCCAATTACTCAGCAGCCAATCCCGCAAGCAAACACGGCTGTGAATCCTGCTCAGAGCAATGTTGGGACGAAACCTGAACAATACTAGATGGATAGTTAATTTAATAAGGTTGTGATTAAGCCATGTCGATATAATTTGATGCATTTTAAACCGGTGAATGAATTGTTATCTGTAAGGCTTGGAATCTGCAGTCAAATTACACGGATACCGTTCTAGCAGTAGTTAGTAGTAGTAGTGGTCTAGGTTACAACCTCTCATTTTCGGAACACAGGGCGAATTTCTTGCGAATGAAAAGACCTGCGAAATAGGGAGTTTTGGTGAGAAATGTTGACGGAATAACCTTCATGGCCTCGGGAGATCGAGAGGAGCCAAATCGGCATACGAGCCATCACGCCGTGAGCAGTCAGAAAGAAACTGACTCAATGCACGGTGGTCTTTGTTCTAGGCCGGTGCCTTCATGGGTTTAGATACGTCAGGTTCACACTTCATGGGTTGTCTACTTGCTTACAGTGCTGTTGGAGCTGGAGTTCAGTGAAAAAAACCTCGTTTTATGCTGATACCATTTAGAACTGGAAGTCCTACGAGTGGTGAAAAGGTGGTTACCCCAACATTTTCTAAAATGTGACAGGTCCTCAGGCAGTAGGTGAAGTAGATGTGACATTATTTTGTAATCGCGCTAAGTGGTCTGTCTCTGCGACGAGAAAGGCATGGGTTGGGTTGCAACAACCAAGCGGTCAAGGGATTTCCTGTCTGTGGCACTCGATGGCGTACTATGACTCTTTCGCGCCTCGCTGAAGTTCAGGTGCGAATGTCGCGCACATGGCATAGCTAGCGACGCCACCCTCTGAGCAGAATAAAAATGGCGTGCTGCACCCTAAAAGAGCGCGTTCCATACTGTAGTCCCTCGGTTAGGCATCAGAAATCTGGACCATCAAAAGTACGGCGGTAGAAGGGCCTGCAGCCTCGCAGTTTGGACCGATCGAGCTTTCCATTCTTGCATGGTCGGTTACTAAGCAAGCAATTTGAATGAGAGGATAAAATAATCGTTCGCACAAGGGCTGAGCTCTCATAATTCATTCGTTCACATGTAAGATGAGGTTATCTGTGGCATCCTGAATGGAAT